CCGGACAGCAGTTCAGCTCCTAGCTGTGCCTTACAGATCAGATAGCTTCCAATAAAATCAGAGGAGCCGATTTAATTTTCCCCATTTTGACACAGTGCATTTCTTGGTCAAAATAAAATTCTATCTCCTTGAGCTAGAGTTCCCCAAAGTATAAGCCATTCGTGAGAATAAATGACTTTGGTTTGGAAATGCCACTGATACGCTCAGACCTTTGAGATATAATTTAGTTTGGGGAAGTAGCAATACATCATCATTATCAGTGATGAGAGCACTTCTCCCCCCTTGTGGGCTGAGTCTGCAGAGCCTTGGCTTGCTGGTGGGGCAAAGGCTTGCTCTTAGCGGGGATAGTCAGTAGGCATTCAAGACAAAACAGGAAACCCTCCTTCATGTCCAGCAAGGTAGGCTGAGTGCTATAGTAAATAGCCCCAAAACTGAAAGAACAGCTTGTGTGCTGCATACAACATTGTCCAGAGCAGGTTTGTGAGGGTCTGCCTGGCACACAGCCATGTGGGGATCCAGGCTTCCTTTTGGAAGTCCCATCTCTTCTGCCATCTTCCACTGGCCAGAGTAAGCCATGTGACCTGATGGCGGAGCCATACTGTGGACTCAGCCCTCTGTTAAGATAAACAGGCAAGTCTGCACACACTGAGATGAAAATGAGGATGTAGAGCAGTCTGCACAGCTCTGTGAGCGGTATCCTCCTGTTGAAATATCTGCAAGTGGACTTGTGCATGAAGCACGGATGCACAGAAGCCAAGTGCCTATGTATGTGCTGGAGAAGAGAAGAAGGCACAGGCCTGCTCTGAGTGTTCCCTTCCGGGGGAGACAGGGCAGCTAAGACTCCAGCAGAGTCCCCATTTTACACTCAAAATCACTAGGGCTCTTATTTTCCTAAAATCACTGAATATTACTTTTGCAGTGAAAATGGTTTGTAATGTTAAGTTTGCCAGAAAATTGAGACTTTGGGAACATCTCATTGCAATCATTGCTGTTTATCTACTTGATATTTGAATTGATTCTCCCTCTCGGATTAATCAATCTATTTCCCATTATCACTGTTAAGTTTTATTTACTCCAGGATATGAGAATTGACTGGTTCACTTTAAAAATTATTTATAAAATGTGTTAAATCACAAGACAGTTGCGCCGCCCTAACACTGTCTTAAGAATTGATGCCTGCGCTTGCCAGTGACTAGGTTTTGTTGGTGCTGTGCAAACTCTGGACTCCTTGGCGAAATGGACCTATTTCCGCTCACTCTACCCTCAGCACCCAGCCCAACATTTATACACATGTTACTTGCCAATTAAGTAGATGGATAAATTAATTAAAGGAAAAAATTCTATCAATTTTTTTTCTTGGTCAAACCAAAATGTTTCTATGCCAGGCAAGTGTTGAAGGGACCTAGAATGTTTCTATGTGGAAATACAAGGGACATAGCTGTGCAGAACCTGCTGTGGCCTGTGGTCTGATACGGCATGACCACTGGTCATAGCATTGGTTGCCTACGAGTCAAAACTACCTTGTTGCTGGGTGGAAAACACGTTGATCAACCATCCAGAGGAGAGCAAAGGAGAAACACATGAACTTGTAGAACTCACAACTTCTGCAAGGAAAATACTAGCTTCAAGGTGGACTCCTAAAGGTTCAGGTGCTATAAGAGGAATCCACCTCTGGGCCAAGCTGTGTTAGCTTCATTGTCCTTCATTGTCAGGGGGACTTTGTCCGCCAGTTTCAGAGTGCTGCCCCACCACTCTAAGGTGCCCAGACGAGGATTCTGGAATTTTTCTGGAATTATGAGTCCCACAACTGAATTTCAGTCATTCGGTGAAGGAGGCAGCGTTCCATGAGGCTGTATGCTCATCACGTCGACTTGGTAACGGGAAGCCCCGTGGGCTGGTCAAGGGCAGAGTCAGCCCAACCTGAGCCACACAGATACTGAGAGTGAGAAAGGGACCGATGCCCTCCAGTGCTTGTGGCATCAGCCCGTCCTGCAGTGACCCAGCCCACTCTGCCCTAGCGGCAAGTGCAGGCTGCACAGGAGCTGCTGCTGAGGGCTCTGGCTACTCAGACAGCCCTGGTATTGCCACCTTGGTCCCCAGACAGCCTCAGGTGGCATGCCCACCAGCTGCTCTTCAGGGACAAACCATACCTGGGAGCATAAGCTGAGCATTCTGGTTGGATTGGCACGAGACAGTTCGACACCCTCCTGGAAGCAAATGTTGAAATCTGAACAAACGCCCGACACCAGGCTCTCTGGCACAGCGTGGGAGGGTCCCAGCGGCGGTTAAACCTCTGCACTGAAGGCTCACCCTGCATTAGCTTTTCATTCCTTTTCCCCCAAACCTTCAAAGCCTCTTATTTGAAGTTTCCTTAATAAAGATGCTCACTGTGGTGTTCTTTAAGATTGTGATTGTTTTCAAAAGCTGTAAATAAAGACCTCAGAACAGAAGATAATCAGGGAAATTACAAAATACACATACAATTTTCAGACAACCCTTAAAATAATGTGCAGGAAAAAAATGTTGCTGTATTTACCATGATCTCTTCTATGTTGGAAAAAAAACTCCATGTAATTCCCATGTCTTTGTGCACTTTCAAAAATCTTTACAAGGTTTTACAACAAAAGCAACAATGAGATAGAAGAAACTGGTGATGTTTAAGCTTAGAGCTAGGATGGGCACTCGGGACAAAACTTGGGGAACAGTCCATTGGTGTTCTGTGACTCAGCTGCAGAATTTGGTGGACAAAAAATCCTGTCCCACTTGTCAGGGGTTACAAGGAGAAAGCCACTCTTATTAGGCTAATATTTGCCAGGTTCTGCTTAAGAATGGCTGAATTCTCGAGCCCCACACAGGGAGGTGTCTGCCAATCCAGGTAGAGACAGAGCTGGGCGCTTTGTCAAATCCCATTTGCACCCAACTGTTAGAGAAGTTTGTGCTCCCAAGTCCTGGAGTGGCAAGGATCAAATCTAGAAACTCCCATGTAGAGCTGCAGAGAGCCCACCAACATCCCACCGGCTGTCCTACATAACAAATGGGCAGCTACAAAGATCTTAGTTAGAAAGGAACCAACTAAACTCAGCCTCGGCATCAAACAGCTAACCATCCTTTAAAAATACTTAAAAATTTTGGGGGCCAGCATTGAGCTATTAAAATTTCCTGTAAGCCGTGGCATTAAGAAGGAAATTACAAACTCCCTGTTGTTTTCTATTCTTTGTTCCCTGTGGTATGTCTTAATTACTGGTTGGTGTAACTAGAGAGTTTTGAAGGTGTCCTACTCATAGGGCTGTTTATGCAATGGTAAACAGCTTTTTTGTTGTTTTTTATTGAAGGTAGTTTAACTTGGACTCTGTGTGTGAGTGATTAAGAAACCAATCCAAACTGGTTTCAGCAAATAAGAAAAGTTAAAGCGTTAATTAGCTTGCATAGTCCTTGCCCAAGGCTGGCTTGTGGCACAGCTTGATAAAGTGGCTCCAGTGTGGCTGCTGAGAACGGCTCCTTTTGCTCCCAGGTTCAGGTGTAATTCGCTGTGTACTGGTTTTGCGTAGCCAGACCCCCAGCTAAGTGCTCCCTTCCCCAGCTGTCAATCACAGAGCCTGAGCCTGGGCCTAGACTAGACAGCAAGGAGGGGGTTGGAAGAGGGAGGCGCTCATTGGCTTCTCCCAACTCTGGGCTCAGCTCATGTCAGAAGTTTGTAAGGAAGAAAATGAAAAAAGCCATCCTGACCACAACCGCAGCAGTAGGGAGGGGGAGAGGTATGGGTTCCCAACAAAACTATATAAGCTGCTGCTTTCCTGAAAAACAAGGGGGGGGGGGGATGGGGTTGACCACAGTAAGTAAACCCACTGGCAAAGGCGATTGTGGAGCAGGGGCTCACATTTGCCACACACTACCCTCTCCTCCATCTTGGGCCTGGAGCTGTTGGCTGGTTGTTTCAAATGTTTAAACATTATAGCTAATGGCTGACAAATACTCAAACAGAATAGATACATATTTAAAAAGACAATAATATAAAAAGAAAAAGATAATAGTGTGATGTGTAGATCAGCTCATTCATTTTCAGGGAAAGTATTTATCGCAGCAGTTAAGACACCCTCATCCCATGTGAGAAAAGCTGGATTCAAAATCTGGCCCCTTCTCCTGACTTTAGCTTCCTGCTAAGGTCTATCCCGGAACACCACAGCAGCAGCTCTAAGAGGTGATTGGGTCCCTGCTGCCCAAAAAGGAGACCTGAATTGAGTTCTTAGCTCCAGACTTAGGCCTAGCCAAGTCCTAGCCATTGTAGCCATTTATGAAGTAAACTGAGAAATGGCACTTTCTCTCCTTCTTTTTCTCTTCTCTCTCCCTCTCCCCACCTCTCTCTACCATTTATTTCTCCCCCTCTCTCCCTCTCTACCTTCCCTCTCAAATATGTTTAAGACATGTTTTAAAAGAACATGTCTTCTAGATGTAGCATCCTATGGGTCTAAGGGACTCTATGGATATGACAATTCATCCTAGGCAACTCTCAACTTTAGTTGGTTTTTTCTTATCTGTAAAATGGGAGCCATAATTAGTTTATCACGCTTGTTGGAAAGGCTAATTTTGATGGTTTCTGTAAGGTCCTCTGACCTCATGCCTGGCCCATCAGATTGCTTGTCAAGTAGGAGTTCACAAACTGCCACCTGTGTGCTAATCTCACCATCAAAGTTAGCCCCGTTTCCTGATCAGCTTCAGCTGTGAGATGGCACACACAACTCTGAGTGTCAAACCCAGGAAGTGGAACATTCTGAAACACACCCAGTGTCCCCGTAAGCAAGCCCAGGGAGAAGTTTCATCTCTGAAACCTGTGTCTGAATGTTGGTCTTGTCACACTGGAGAGCTGTTAAGCCACATGGATATGTGAGCAGTCCCTGCTGAGGACTCCTGCCCTCCGAGGTGAACTCAGCACGCCCACCACCTTTCCAGAACAGAAGCCCAAAGCTCAATGTCCTCTTCTCTGTTGTGTCTTTGCTTTGTAGACTCTGGAAAACCCCAAGTACGAGTTGATCATCGAGGCTCAGGACATGGCTGGACTGGACGTCGGCCTAACGGGGACCGCCACAGCCACGATCATGATCGATGACAAAAATGACCATTCGCCAAAGTTCACCAAGAAAGAGGTAATCCCCTGCCAGCACACCACTACTGTGTCCATGGTCAGGGTCACTGACCAGTGGTGGCCAGGGTCACTGACCAGTGATAATTCCCCGGACCACAGTCACTGCTGTCTGTCAGCTTGCACAGTCAAAACTCTCCTTTGAGTGAGAAAAGAGCAGTGTTTTTCCAGAATTATTTTGTTCATTGTGTGTGTGTGTGTGTAGCTAAAGCACTGGAATGCTGCAGGAACAAAAGCACTGGATCTTGTTAAAGTCCATAAGAAAATAACTTTTAATGCCAAAGTGCCATTTTCATAGTTTTATCGGGGTTGTTTAGCTCTGACTTATGTGAGCCCCATTGTGGTTTTAGCATAACAATAACTATTTTGTTGGCAAGCACAGATTGAGAGGCCAGACGGAACAGCAGCAAGGAGGGAAAGCAAATTTTCTTGGCAGTAACAAGGTGGTCCCAGAGCTTATAAATAACAGCCAAGTTAGCTGGTCTAGGAGAACCATTACTTATCCCCAGCTCTGGCGCCCATGGCCATGGATCACGGTGCTCACTCCCCTGCTGAGGCCCACAGAGCAGTGTTTAGGGAAGGGCTCGGTGTACAGAACCACACTCACTTGCTGGATTTGTAGCTGAGCTAAGAGATCCCTTCGCCCGGGTGTCTGATGGAAATGTCCTCAGGTCACGGCTGCTTGAGTGGTCATGGATTTGACACCCTGCTTGCACAAGTGGAGACTGCAGACAACAAGCACGATGGGCCCAGTCATTTGCGGAGACAGCCCCGTGTCTGTCATGATGCTCTCCGCCTTACATCTGAGACTCCCTCCACTGGGTGAACTGGATTTCATTCACATTCTGAAAATATACATCCTTCAACTCAATCTAGCAAGTCATAGGCAGAAATAGGAAATGACTCTGTTCTTGACTGAGAGGAAATGCTTCCTTATCTGTCATTGACGCCTGCCCCCTCTAAGACATGGGGATAAAAGGAGCATAGTGGACCAGCCCATTCCTCTTGGAAGAATCTCAGGGCCATCCCAGGTAACCTGGGACAGATGGAGCCTCTCAGCCCACTTGCCCCCCAGGGCTTCTCCACCTGTGGTCCCTTGTGACTTTTGCAGAAGGTAGAATCTCTCTCTCCCAGTGGTGTTGCAAGCATTCAGTGTTTGAGCCTCAGTGCAGCCAAGCACACAGCAGTTCAAGGTGGCTCCATTCCTTGATGTGCCAGGACAATGTTCCCAGAACTGATAGTGCAGATTGCTCATTATCTCCGTGGTTCCCAGACTGGCATTCCAAGAAATTAGCTCCACAAGTTACGCTGTGGGCCACGGGAGCAGGAGGGTGATGGTAAGATTTTAAGATCAAAGTGATGTGGGGAACCCTGGGTTGAACAGATTAAAAGACGTCCTTCACAGCACTTCTGGATCACATTGAAGTGCCCGTGTTTCCCTAAAATGAAGCGGTGCAGTCTGTGGGATTTGGCACATTCTTTGCCCTGGGGACATTTTTCCTAGGCTGCCTCATCACATCTTATTTCATCAGTGTTCCTGTGGTGTTCACTGGAGAATGACAGCTGATTGTGAACTTCTTGTCAATCTGTTTCAAAAATAAGAATCCAAGGCACGTTGTATTGTTCACAAAAATCATAGCAACAAGAATAACTATCATATGACCCTCCAATCCAAAATCAGACTTACCAGTGTCACCAACTGCGTGAGATTGGTTACAGTGCTTGCTTGTGTTTACTCCCTGTCTCTCAGTGGAAAGAAGAAATCTGCATTTAGGCATGGACACAACACTGTCAGACACTTTCTGTTGTTGATATCACACAATTCAAGGAAGACATTAAACACAGGCCTTAAATAAGAGACACAAGGGGAGTGCATTCACCTGTGGCTCTGGGCAAAAGCCCAACACTCGTCTTCAAGTGGGCATTAACGGTAATGAGTCTGGGACTCCTGGAGGGCAGGGCTGATGTCCAAGCTCACTGAGATGAAAGTAATAAGATGAGAAGAGCAGGTAACCCACAGGTCCATGAGACTGCGTGTCAAGTGCTAGCCATCCCGAGGGAGTCTGCCCAAGATCCAATATGTTAAATTCACACTTCAGCTGTCTAACATGCTTCCCAAAGGCTCGTGTTCTCTGCCGTTGGCCAGGGACTCGTCCGTTTCAGACACCAGAACTATCAGAGGTGGTACAACAGGGAGAGAAGTAGGTTCTGGAATCAGACCTGGATCAAAATCCCCCAGACAGGTGTGTGGGGCAAGCAGATGAACCTCTCTGCATCCCGTGTTCTGCCCCTGCTAACGGAGCTGCTCCCAGAACCTCCTTCCTAGGTCCTTGTGATTGTTAAATGAACTCACTATGGAAAGCTCTGCGAGAGTGCCTGTCACTTAGTATTCTCCAGGGTGTTGGGGACAAAGGATGGTGGCGATGAGGATGGCAAGGAGGAGGGTGGAGGTGATGAAGAGAAAGGTCAGTGATGTTGAGGCAGGGGTGGAGAAAGCGGCAGAGAGGGAGATGTTGATGTGATGACTGTGGTGTGTCTAGAATGTCAGGGATCAAGTGACCTCTTATATAAAGGGCCGTCTTCCCTCCCTGAAGAAAGACTGCCCTGTTCCTTGGAGTGTTTCTGCTCCAGCACCTCAGAATGATAGGGGAAGGCGCCAGCGATCTGGAGGAGGAGGAATTCTGGAAGGCAGATGACCAACCTGTAAGACCAGGGCTGGGAGCCGGAGAAAGCACAGCAAGGTCACCTCTTGGAGAGCAGATGAACTCAGCCGGACGCAGGCTGTCTAGGACACACTGGCATTGGAACAGCAGGGAGGAAACACAGCTTGTGACACTGAAGTTGACACGTTTCTCAGACATGAAGGTCAAGGCTTGGTCATTCCAGCAAGAAAGTAATGGTCCTTTGTAGTTGAGGATTCCAGAAAGCTGTCCAAGGAGATGTTTGTTTTCTTACATACATGTTCAAATCTGTCAGGATATTTCTTGTGACATTAATAGAAATATATGCCTGTTTTTCTCAAATATATGCCAGGTTTTTCTCAAAAATTCTATTTAACATCATCTTCCACCTCCAGAGAAATGAATCTTTTTGTCTGTTTCAAAGTGAAATTGTTATTGGTCACAAATTCAGAGACTGGAAGTAGCACTGTCTTAAACAAAATAGAGACAGGTTTCCCTCAAAGTTTTTTAGAGGGGGACTGGTGTTACAGAGGAACAGATAAAGCCACTACCCTCAATGTAGCATCCCACATGGGCGCTGGTTTGTGTCCTGACTGCTCCCTGCCAGTTAGCTGGGAAAAGCGGCAGAGGATGGTCCAGGTGCTTCAGCCCCTGCCACACATGGCAGAGACCTGATCGAGGTCGCTGGCTCCCAGCTTAGGTCTGGCCCAGTAACGGCTGCTGGGAAGGCGAACAGCAGGCGGAAGATCTGTGTGTGTCGCTCTCTGACTCTAGCTTGATAGAGAGATAGCAATGTAGGTAGACAGACAGACAGACAGAAAATAGGTATATGATACCAGGCTTGTTTGATGGCGCCATAGTTCATCTTTCTACTCTGCCTTTTCAAGGCTTCTTTGTGATACAATAGGCTCAGTGCAGCGCCAGCCATCATGTCCAATAACAGCAAGAAGGAGAGAATCACAAAACGCAGAAGAACCAACCAAGCAACTATCATTTAGACAGCTTCCTTAGAAACCCACGTGCCGTCAGGCTATGTGTCTGTAGCCGCCCTTAACCTGTCGAGCGAAATGAGAAGTAATTCCATCTTCAGTTGGCATATTGCAGCTCTTGACAGTATAGTCATTGCTGAAGGAAGGAAATATTTTGAAGGTTATTTTTAAAAGCAAATTCATTTGTTGATTCCCCTCAGGTTCGTTTACCCTGACGGTAAACTTGTTGAGAAGCAAGGGTCATGTTTCTGTGACTCTGCTGGGTCCCCGTAGGCATCCAATCGCTCAGCGTTTGCCAAATGCCTCCTGAAGGCACCTCTGACTTGAGAACAATGTCGCTGGGTATGATACATGAAATCGATTTTCAGTCATTCACTTTCATGCAAATATAGATTGGCAACAGTGGTTTCTTTGTGAAACAGCTCTTACATGGGGGTGCAGTGTTAGTTTGGAACCTCCTATGAAAGGTATTTGGAAATGTCTTGTGAACGTGGAGGAGTTTGAAATGTAGGTGGAGCCTCAGTGTCAGGTGGAATGAAGTGACTTCATTCCAAAGTTATTTCTGTATAAAAGTTTGTGTCTAGAACATAATTGCTGTCCAACTGATTGAATAGCAAGCTTTTACATAAATCTTACATCATGGCAGTTAATACAGTGCCTATTACCTATAAAAGGAATTTGCAAATGATCATATAAGAAAAAGGACATTCAAAGATTTTTATTTCATTAATTTAATTTTCAAATTGTGTGTCTTGGAAGGATCGTATAATTTAGAGGTGCTTTCTAAGGTGACTGCATTGGTGTTTGAATGTAGGTAGCACTGTTACACTGTAAAAGAAATTACCTAGGCCCGGTGTGATGGCCTGGTGCCTGAACCCTTAACTCGTATGCACCGGGGTTCCACATGGGTGTCAGTTTGTGTCCCAGCTGCTCCACTTGCCATCCAGCTGTCTGCTTGTGGCCTGGGAGGGCAATGGAGGACGGCCCAAAGCCTTGGGACCCTGCACCCACATGGGAGACCCTAGAAGAGCTGAGCAGGAGGTGCAGTTTCTGGCTCCTGGATTTGTATTGGCTTAACTCTAGCCATTGCAGCCACTTGGGAAGTGAATCAGCGGACAGAAGATCTTTCTGTCTCCCCTTCCCTCTGTATATCCGCCTTTCCAGTAAAAAAAGAAATAAATAAGATCTTCCTTAAAAAATGAAGTAACATAAAATTTGAAAGGTTCTGACCTTGAGTTGGGAAACGAGTGGGGGTCAAGTACCCCAACACCAGGAAAGGAATGTGGGCAAGTGATAGGAGACAGAGCTGACAGGCCAGAGCCCCAGGCAGACAC